ACGAAAGGGGTGATAGGATATTTATGAGCCCTTTAAAAATGTAACGTATCTGTGGTTTGCAGATTGTGACAAGACAGGAGTCGATGATACAAAAGCATTAGAGTAAACTACCTGATTTCATTGTTCTGTTGGCAGCCAAGCTAGTGAACTTCAGCAGATAGCAAGCTTTTTAGTTTGGAAAGCTTTTCTCCACTTCGAAACAAATCTCTAATCAAATGAAATAATGTATAATTCCAAGAACAAAATGTTGGGGGGATTGGATAAAACTTTGGGGAGATATTGTGGCTGATGAGCATGTTCTGGCTGCCTAGTATTTTAGCAGTCAGCTCGCCAGCTAACACACACATGGTTAGGTTTAGGAAAAAAGAACAGGGTTTGGCTTTAGAATCTTACGGGACATGAACACCACTCTCTTGGGTGAAAGTCATTTTTTGTTGGACCCATCCACCACCAATCCTGCCCAACCCAGTTGGACTTTAGCCATCTTAACTTTCGTCCTTGTCCTGCTGTGTTTCCCCCTGACGCCGCCGGCCACCGTTATACTATAACGGCACCTGGCCATGTATCATGCCAACATTAAAGGACGCCTTTTTGTCATTGGTTTCTGATGCCGCAAGTCACTTCCCAAGCGCCGGATTTCGATGACTTCGAAATGACACTGGGCTCGTGTCTAAGCCAAAAGTTGTACCTGAACACCTCATAAAGACTAGAGCCAATGGCCTACTAGCACTTGCATTCTGTGCCTGCATGAGAGACAATAATTCTTCATACCAGCAGGCGGCAGTAGTCTGTATTCCTCATTCAATACAGGAAACCGGAAGACCAACAGGATGGATTCATATTTACAATGCAACGAATAACAACACAATTAGGAAGAGCTCAATGGCTTAGCAAAGTAATCTTACCTAATATAAAAAGTTTGTTTTGTTTGCTTTGAACGCCCTCTTGACTTTAGCCATTTGTTTGCTTCCCTCATTTCTCTTCTCCTGCACTGAGCTGAACTGCCAATCAGAGTGATTTCATTCACCAATGGGCTCCGCCCAATCTGACGCTGATTTGGCAGGCTAAATTTGCTGAAATAGAAGCTAATAAGAGTTGACAAGGGCCAATGGTGCGGGAAACTAGGGTGTTGCATGGTCACCAATGGCCAACCTTTGGCTTGGTGTGTCAGGGCTTTTATGAGCAGTCTTAACATCACTTAACTATTATATTATAGGGCTGGTAGCAAAACGCTCAGAGACCACTATCCCCAAATCTGAGCAAATAAACCAAAACTATCTGAATGGCCACTAGAGGTAAGTAAGAAAATATGTATTTTTGTAATTTGGGCGCACTGACCCTTTAAGCTTGTCATTAAGGGGGATGTGGGTACAGCAGGGATCACACTGAGTCAGTCCGTATGTACAGCACATCGTGTGTGCTTTGAAGTCTCTATACATGCATGCTGGTGTGTTTCTATGAGCCTTCATATGTGCATGTGATTTATTATTCATACATGCAGAGTGAGTGGAAAATCACAGCAGGAAGGATATCAGACTCATGATCACAAAACAAGCCCCGTGCACAGGAGCTCCCCGCTCTGGGATCCCATCTGTCCCATAAAGAAGCTACTGCTGGCAGATGCCTCCAGTGAGCGTTTTTATGTGGGGGCACCAGGGGCCAAAGAGACATGTGTTTTCATGCACTGGAAAGAGGGAGTGGAGACTACCTGAAGGTGAAGACCGAGACAGGATCCATCTACAGGTTTGCAGAGGAAGTTTTAATGAGCAGTTAGCGAATGCCAAAGTGTTTGTACTTTGACAAGCTTGTTGATAACCTACATTAAAGAGTGACAAGGAAAATGTTTTCCCTCCTCTCTCCTTTTGTCTTCGCTCAGTTTAGTTTTCTGTGTTATTTCCTCATCAACATTGTCACTTGACGTAAGATATCTCCTTAGCAACATGTGTTTGCAGTTTGATATTTCAGTATGTTTTTGATTTAAGAAAGAACAATGCTAATTCTCCCAGGGCGCCCTCCGTGGATATTAATTTCGGTGTGCAGAGTACAGATGAGTCATCTATGGGTGGTGGTTTTTTTTCTTGCTCTCAGAGATTGAGCAAGCAAGATAAAACTTTAATTATTATTTTTCCATGTCAATTATCAGATTATTAGCTTTCTTGAGAAAGCAAAATCACTGGTTTCCTCTAAGTGGATTGTCTGCTGTTTGCACTTCAGTTTTTTTTTTTTAGCCTGAGCATTTCTATTCTTGGATCTCCGTGCTTTGTGATGTGTCCTTACCGGCTTCACATCAAAGGTCTCCATGCACCACAGTCCCTACAGTACCAACAAAAGGCTCTGTGTGGCAACCTTTGGAAAATGAGTGGGTGAGGCGACTGTCATGAAACGCACTGCAAATATTAATCTAGGTTAACAGCGGTAGTTAGCTTTTGTTCCTATGAAACCAGCTTGGAGCGTATCCCCTCGCTTCACCCTGGCAGCGAGCTTTGTAAACGAGTGCTATCTTGTTTAAAATTTCCCTACCATCCCCCTCCATCTCCACACACACACACCTTCACTGCTTGTTTCATCCTTTCCCACCTGCAGACAGACCCTCCCCGGCCATCAGCTGCATATCTCCCCCCTGCTTCCACCTCCGCAACGGCTTATCATGATATACTGTGTATTTACATCGAGCAGCGCACATGCTCAGGTCTGTCTGACATGATCCAAGAAAAGTCTGCCTTGAAAGCAGTAGGTGCCCTGTAATTAGACCGCTCTCATTTCTTTTTAAGCCTCATTTTCACCTCCTCTCTCTTGCTTGATTTTTCTTTCTTCTTCTCTCAGTCTCTCTCCATTCCCCTATCCCTTACTTATCCACCCTCATCAGACTAACCCAGTGCTTGAGTATAAATCAGCCCCAGGGACAGGTGGACATCTGCCAGCCATGAGGAGATCCAGGCAGGAATGTGATCACTGATGCAGCTCGGAGAAACATTTAAACTCTGGCACTAAAGGGACTCAGCTTCTCCCAAAACCCCTGCTCCATCCCCTACACCTCATCCTCATTGATTGAGTTGAAAGGGGGAGATATTGGAGAGATGCCTTTTGCTTTTGTTTTGTTTGCATCCAGGATTTTTTTAGTGAGGGGATAGGGAAAAGCAGAAATTTGAGAAAGAGGCAGTGGGAGGATGTTTGATTTGGAGTGATGAACCCTGAAGTCCAATGGGTCCAATATGCAATACAATTTCAACTGAAGAGAGTCTGCTCAGGTTAGCGAGGGGGTTTATGAGTGAAATATGTGGGATAGAGACCAAGATGTTCTTTCACATCCCAGCAGGGTGTAGCACAATAACGACTCTGCTCTAACGTTGACCCTCTCGGAGAAAAAAATGAACCCTTGATTTCACTGCTCTCGGCTTTTCTTCCCTCTTTTCCCATGAAGAGTAGGGGCAACGCTAATTGAAAGTGTCACTGTGCCCTCCAAGGAGTATGGCTTTAATAAAATTTGGTTGAAACGGGGTTTAGTGGCCACCGAGATTTACGACTAAGCCCACTGAGATGGTATACAGCTCTCGCAAGAAACTTTGGTTGTAAAGCTGGTTGCAAAATATGACAATGAATTCAAACATATGAGACATATATAACATCCAGAAACGAGCAAAAGATCATTATCGTCAGCGTTGAGTCAGCTGTGTGGTCGATCATTGATGCAGTCTAGAGGAGTTTTTTCAACTCGCAGCTGTTAGCAATTAGCATGTCATCTCCTCAGCATGGGAGTTTGACATATTATTGTGATTACATGTTTACCATGTTTTGTGCGAGGCTGCTTTCACCAAAGCCATATTGGCGTCTCATTACAGCTGCACACTCTAGTTCTTGGAGGAACATGACTCTGTTAATAAGTAAAATGCTCCTAACATTTCTGAGCTTAGATTCAAAATATAAAGTGACATGAAACGTAAGAGAATCTTCATGGTATTGTTTGCGTCAGGGCAGCATAAGACTACTACTTGCAACTTCAGACATTCTGGGAAAACTCCTCTGTCAGCACATTGTAGTTTATACTGCATGAACACACTTGCATGAGACTTTATGTGAAATATCTAGAATGTGGGCCATAGCCAACACCAATACAAGAAACCTGTCAGCTTTACAAAGTGTTCTCTGCGTTAGAGGCTACCTCAACAACTCCCGCTCCAACTAACAGGTATAACAACAACCCTCCCCCCCTCAAGCCTCTGCCAATCACAGGTGGTATCTCACACAGATCACTGTCATAGGTGCTAGAATTGACCGACAGGCTTTGTGGCGTCTAAAAACACACAACTTCGCTGGGAGTGACACATTCACTGACATTATGGAAAGCTCAGTAACTGCCATAACAGACCTTTTTACTGTAGCTGAACATAAAACATTCCCAACAGTAACAGAATCTGTGCAGTTAACATCACGTCAGCAAGAGGATAAATATGTTCTCTTACTTAAAATGATTGCATTTTTCATCCACATTAAACAGAACCATGTATTTTTTAAAGTTTATACATGATAAAATGTCCATTTTAAAAGGATAGATTGACATTTTGGGGAATACAATGCTTTCTTGCCAAGAGTTTTACGAGGAGATTAATATCATTCTCACATCTGTCCAGTAAATCTAAGGCTATATCCAGCAGTTAATGTAGCTTAGCATAAAGACAAAGCATCTTACTTGTTGTAAGGAGATGCACAGCTACACATCAGCAACACCTTCACAATACTGGTCAGTTAGTTGTTGATGTTATTTTCCTGTCACGCTGAACTGTGCATGGAAAAAACTTGCCAGGAGTTGCTTTCCTCCGTTTCCTTAACAACAGAGAAAAAGCCCCCCCACCCACCACACACACACACACACACACACACACACAAAAAAACCCCTGCCTTCCTCCCTCCCCTCTTCCCCGAGCTTGCCCTTTTTAGGCTGTTCCTCTTTTTTCCATCTGAAAAGGGGGATAGTATGACAGCTTTTCCTGCTCCTTGTGGATTGGAGCCGGGAGAGAGAAAACTCTGTTACTCACTCCGTCTCCAACTTTGAGAGGAAGTTACCACCTCTTCCCCAGACTCTGTACACACACACACGTTCAGGCAGACGCACACACACACTTACACACACTCTTCGGGACTTGACCACAGCAGAAACGGGGAATCAACTGAAACAGTCAGGACTGCTTGTAATGCTGTGTCTCTTTTCAAAATTTGGAGGGAAAGAAGGGCAGTTTGCCTGAAGCTTTCTGTGTGGACTGAGCACTTTGAGAGAGACGTTTCTTGTCATCACAGACCGGTGAGTTTGACAGTTTGTTTCAGTGTGTGTGCAGTGCCATAGAGACCCCAGTGAACCACAGCTTCTCTGTCACTGTACTTTTACAACAGAGGAACTTTGTCTGTTGTTTTGTGTCTGCAGTTTTAATGCTCTGCATCTCAAGTGAAATGATTAGTTTGGCAGGCTTGTTTAGAGGTGCGTGTGTTTGGGAAAACTTCCATGTGCTATAAACTTTGATATCTGGTTTCCATCACAGCCACTCTAGTAAGCTTTTACTCCACGTGAGCTTCTTGTGTAAGTGTTTATATTATTAAATAACCATGTGTGGTGAAATATGGCAGAGAAGTGAATGAGTTTTGGTCACAGCAGCGTTAACACATTGATAAAGCTGTTTTATGCATGATGTTGACTTTCTTTTACAGTAAAAACCCTGTCTTATTGCAGCAAAGCACTATGTTTTTGCCACTCAGTCCGCATACATCTAAGCAGAGTCGGTGCATCACACTGTAGTCCTGCTAACAGTGTGTGTTTATCATGTTTTTAGTGAACCGCTGCCAAATAGGAGCTGATGCAGCACTTATAGTTGATACAGGACAGGAGAGCCTGGGTATGGCTTTCCTGTGCAGCTGCACATTATTGGCTAACCTTGTGGTGATGAATTAGTTGTCACCTTGCTACAATCAAAGCAAACATCCTGTCGCTTTTTGTATTTTTTCGTGCGGCCAAAAAGAGCAGACGTCACATAATCAAAGTGAACTGAGGTGGGAGACGTCACATGATCTCAAAACAAGGCATGAAAAGTGCACACATGTTGCATATGGCTCTGTTTCTTTTTCAGCTGTTCACCCTCTTTTTGCATGAGCTCATAGAAACGCTGCAGGACAGCAGCTGGCCATATGCGCAAGCTCCCATAGCTCTCTCTCTCGCTCTCTCTCTCTCCGCTGGACGTTTGGTTGTGGTTGGTAAGTGGTTGACACCTCTTATCAGGGAGAAAGCAAGGTGATGGGTGGAGGCAGGATAAGGCTGGGTTGCTCTCAGGGGTCTCCTTTAATTTACACACTCTGAGTGCGCTGGCAGCACTTTAGCTATGCCTCCTCCGCTCATCAGATAACCTTCCATAGGATGAGTGTGAATGCTTGGTTAAGTAACCCCTTCAAGTGCGGCTGGAAAGAGCTGACTCCTGTGTGACCTCTCTGAACTATTCATACCAGCAGACTTTCCTTCTTCCACTGAACTCACTTATCAGTCAGCCTGTCTTATCTGTTCTGAGAATGGTTGTTAACTTACTCTATTTACCCAGGAGTCAGAGGTCAGACTGTGATTTGAGCTGCTTGTCTAAACTCCCAGAGTACCAATCTGTTTGCAGAGGGGAGATACAGAAAGTTTCAGCCTACACAAAGCGGAGATAAGTCAAAAGAAAAGAACCCCATGTAGACAGATTTACACAGTGACAAGGAATGAACACAATTGCTCGCAAGAAAAGAGGTGAATGTGCTCTTATCAAAAGAATAATGAAAAAAAAAAATTGGTACACAGTGATGCCATATTGTAGAAGTCCCGGAGCAGCACCACAGACAATGACTTTTGAAAGCTTTCAAATGAGTTTTATTCTGTAGCAGTGCTGTCTTATCATAAGTTAGTTCCACAGGAGGTCCTCATACTCACACTCATACAGCGGCTCCTTTAATTCTTCAGTTTCTCATTTAGTGTCTGGCTTAACGAGAGGAATACTTTATTAAAAAATCAATCATCTTGGATTGTTATTGACCACAGAACAGTAATAACAACAAGGTTATTTGAGACTAAAGTGTCAGTTCAGCAATTTAGGTTTTAATGTATATATATATATACAGTATAATGTGTCTCTTATGTACTTGGACACGCAGAAAATTCTGCATCTAGAGTTCACCGCGGGTAGGTCAGATTCTGTGTTGCAGCATTGTGCAGAAAGCTAGTGCAAACAGAGTAGATGGAAAAGCTTCGCCATACATAAATTAAAATGATTTAATGTTTACTCCCTTTCACCGAAACTCTTCAAGGCTAGCTACAGTATTACTTACAGTTCAGCTGGGCTGTTTGCAACACTGTAACCAGGCTCACTTACACACCCCAGCAATTTCTGCTTTTGCAGAATGTAATGGCTCAGTTTTCACCACATCACACTGACCTTAACTGACCTCTGACTCTGACTGGCCTCTACTGGAGACAAAGGACAGTCATGACAGGTCATACAAGAACGATCAAATGCACATCACAAACAGACTGTGAGCAATTAAAGCATGAGAAGTTAAAATACAGTGATAATAGATTTCGTGGTGCAAACTCAGGCAATAACATGCAGCCATTTGGCCAGATCAGCTTATCATCAGCTGATCTCTTTGAAGCATCTTCCTACAACAGAGGGATCCATTCAAACACATCTAATTGACCCTGCAGGTTTACTACTGGTGCTGCTGACTGTTATCTCTCACTTAGTTCCTGCGATGAACTGCAAACTAAAAGGGCATCCTCGTGTTCTTTTCTTTAAGGGATTTAAGGGGATATATTGGCGGAAATGGCATATAATACAATAAATATGTTTTCTTTAGTATATAATCACCTGAAAACAAGAATTGTTGTGCTTCTGTTACCTTGGAATGAACCATTTTATATTCACATAGGGAGTGGGGACAAACCAAACACTGCCTTTAGTATTTGGTTTGTGTTTTCACGTCGGCCATAGTAGTAAGCAGCCCCACCATCAGAGCCACACTGATTTTTTTATGTGCTTTATTCTGTGTTTTTAACGGTTCAAATCACTGGGCCTGTTTGTTTTGAAGAGTAAAAACCTCTATGATTAATTCAGCTCTCAGTAAAAACCTCTTGAACAATGAACATTGAAGGAATTCTAACCAGAAGTTTCAGCTGGTTGCAATATGCAATCCTCTCCACTATAGGCCACTAAATCCCCTTAAAACACTGCTCATTTAAGGGGATTCCTTATCTTTTGAACCAAGTGTCTTAAACACAAGGTATTTGCTCATGGCACTGGCTTCCATCATGCAGCAGTTGGGCTTGATTCATGCCTTTTTCAAACCCTTGTAAATATACAGTCCCACGGTCATCAGAGAGTTTATAGATAGCAAAAGATTTACTCAGTGCACTTCCCTGTTCGTAAATGTATTGTTCAAATATGAATGGTGACGTTATGAATCTTCACAAGGACATAAATGACAAGAACTTATGTTCTGCTCACCGCAGCTCTAATCTCACTCACATTAAGTAACCAGGATACTATTTTAGAGTAATAGCGAAAAAGGGAGTTTGATGAATGACTTGTCTCAGGAACTGTGTTTAGCAAAGCTCCCGTCAACCACTGATGCCTTACAGAGCTCAGGGCTTATTGCTCTCTTTTAGGAGCTTCACTGGTCCAGACACTCCCCTGTTTAGGCTCGGGCAGATGTTTGACATGCTAAGTCCAGTGGGTTTGCCTAAGCTTACAGTCCTATCTGGGCTACACACATGCACACACACATAAAGAGGGGCAACAGAAACTAAAACACACACAAAAATGCGCTTGAGCATGCACAGAAGTGGTTGCCATTTATTTTGTTTAAGGGAATACTTTGCCCACAAAATGATCATGTATATATCAATTAGTCATGCCATGTTACCGTTGAGTTTGTGAAGAAAACTTTGTTTTTCTTGCATGCCTCTGGTGAATAAAGAATCCAAAAGTGGCAAACTAGAAGTGGAAGCACTGAAAGGTTTCACTTTTAGTCAGAAAGGGCTTAAGGCAAAGTAAAGCAACATGTTTGGGAAGCACTAAGCAAGCGACTGAATAAATGAGACCTGGATTATACTGTATGAGTTGTTTGAGAGTTTGAAAACAGATGTTTTGATTCAGTTTTTGCCATTGTTCATAATGGTCCCCATTGACTTCAATTTATCAGCAATATTTGCTGTTTTTGGATTCTTGTTCACCATGGATGCATGTGATTGAAATAAAGTTCTCTTTATTAATTCAAAGTAACATGGCACTAATAGTGTGTTAAAAGCAGGCAGGAGTCAGCACCTCCAAATCTGAGGCCATGGTTCTTTGCCGGAAACCAGTAGGTTGGGAGAGGGTTATTACCTCAGGGTTATTACCTCAAGCAAGGGAGTTCAAGTATCTCTGTGTCTTGTTCACGAGTGAGGGTAGAATGGAGCCAGACCGTCGTGGTGAAGAGGGAGCTGAGCCAGAAGGCAAAGCTTTTGATTCATTGGTCTGGTTAGTGACAGAAAGAATGAGATTGTGGATACAAGCGGCCGGAATGGGTTTCCTCCGTGGGGTGGCTAGGCTCAGCCTTAGAGATAGGGTAGGGAGCTCGGACATCCAGAGGGAGCTCGGAGTAGAGCCACTGCTCTTTCACGTCAAAAGGGGTCAGTTGAGGTGGTTCGGGCATCTGATCAGGATGCCACCTCCCGTTAGAGGTGTTCCAGGCACGTCCCACTGCTAGGAGGCCCAGGGGCAGACCCAGAACACACTGGAGGGATTACATATCCCATCTGGCCTGGAAACACCTTGGGGTCCTCCAGGAAGAGCTCGAAGGTGTTGCTTGGGAGAGGGACATTTGGGGTGCTTTGCTTGGACTGCTGGCCTGGATAATTGGATTAAAATGGATGGACTGATGGCATGAGTAATTGTTATATATAACAAGTCATTTTTGGGGGGTGAAGGTCAAATGGACCAGAACTCCATGTGTTTGGTACATTCATTGTTTAAAATTATATTTGCAAAAGAGAGTTGACCCAAGAGTAAGTTAGTCACAGTCTGGTGGTAATATTAAATAGACGATCAGAAAAGAAAAATCTACAATCTACTCTAATTTAATGTCCTCAAAGATAGACAAAACAGCACAGAGATCTCATTTTTCCAGACTGTACTCTTGTTTTGGAACAAAATCTCTCCAACCCCCAGCTCCACAAGCTAACACGCCATCACACGACATTTCACTCGCAGCCACAAAAACCAAACAACAGTATGATCTTCCCATGTGATA